GGAGGTGACGGCGGAAGCCGGTTACATCACCCTCTTCCTGCGCCCGGCCGGGCGGGGAAAGGCCGTAGGCCCCAGGCCCGAAACCCGGCCACAAGGGGCAGCGCCCCGGCTCCGTAACCGCGGATGGCGGCCTAACGATCGAGTACCGGCTCGGGCAGGCCGCGGCCTAGCGAACAAAGCTCCCCCCTGACCGGGAACGGAGGCGCCCGAGCCCACCCCCGCCCCGCCGCGGCCTATCATTCCCCCGGCCTCCCCGCCCGACCAGGCCGCGGCCCAGCCCCACCTGCGGCAGACGAAGCAAGATGCCGGCTGCTTGGATGAGTTCGCAGCCGGTGACCCGCAGCTCGGTTTCGGTGTCGGGATCCAGGCCGCTGCTCATGGATGGGGTGAAGCGCAGCGTGTGCTCGGGCAGCAGGCAGTTCTCCAGGGTGATCAGCACCCCCGAGTACAGCCGGTCCCCGATCAGCACCGCTCCGGGGCCCGGTACCGGCGCGCCGCTCCCCGTCGAGGCGGAGCCCGCCAACGTAGCGCCGCCAGCTTGAAGCCCCATCGGGCCGCTGCCTCCTACCGCCACCACAGCCGCCGCGCTGCCCGACCCCGTTGAAATAGCACCTGTCCGGTAGCCATAGCCACCTAAAAAAAAAGTAACCACAATAGGTATTAAAAAAAACAACCACCAGTTGCAAAAAGAAATTGCCTAGAATGATTTCAACAGATTTCAGACCCAGAAGAATAGCTCAGGTATATTTAAATATGGGTATAAGTTCAGTGATATCTAAAGAAAACTAGGACCCTCACTTCAGTAATGAATTAAGTTACCCAAAATATTATCAACACCACAAACACTGCCTGTAAGACAGACGTTAAATCAAAAAACTTCTTTTATGAAGTATGAAAACACACTCCAAAACAAATAAAAGAAATAAAAAATCCCCCAAGCCCTACAATAGAACCCACTAAAGCTCTAACAGTACACCAGAAAAACTTTTTTTTTTTTTTTTCCGGCGTGGTTGGAGGGGGGAATCGAATCAATCCTATCACGATTTGCACGTACTCGTTAACACAACTGACTCATTAACACACTCGGTAGCTAGAAGATGCCTGGCAAGTTTTACGCTCAGGGAACAACGTGTTCTCCGGAAAACAAAACCTTCCCGACGTCACTACAATTCAAAGGAATTTACGAAGTCTTTCTTTTCGCAATCCC